GGGGCCCCTCCCGTCCGCGCCCCTCCACTGCCAGCTTGACGGCCCTCGCCAGGCCACGCGGGCACGAGAGTCCGCCGGGCCCACCCTGTTGGGGGGGGGGCGGCCCTGGCTGCAGGAAGGGCGGCTTGCGCACGCCCTCGCTGGGACCGAAGTGGGAGGACCGGCACAGAGGAGGGAGGAGGGAGGAAGGAGAAGGAGAAGAAGGAGAAAGAGGAAAGGGCAAGGAGAAGCAAAACGAGGGGGGGGCGATCGATGAGGGCAAGAGGAGCAGGAGGAGAAAGAAGGGAATGGAGAAGCAACAGGAGGAGGGAGAGGAAAGAGGAACGACGTGAAAAAATTGCGCACACTCTCCTCTGCATCGGATCCAGACCGTGCGAGGGCTGTCGTTCGTCGGCCACGCAGATAGCAACTCTGCGTGAACTCGTCTTAGACGTCCCCATCCCTCCTTCGCATCCCCGCCATCCTCCTCCTCCTCCTCCTCCTGCTCCTCTTACTTCCTGCCCTCCCCGCCATCATCCTCCAACCTCCGCCTTGTCGTCGTCGTCGTCCTTTTCCTCCTCCTCCTCCTCCTCCTCCTCCTCCTCCTCCTCCCCCTCCTCCTCTTCCTCCGCGTGCTCCTCGCTCTCCCCGTTCCCCCCCTACCCTCCTCAGCTTCGGCATCCTCATCAAGGCGGTTCTTTTGCCGCTGCCCGCTGCCGCTGCTGCTGCCGAAACTCCTCTGCGCTGACCTTCATGCGCCAGAGTTTTGGGGGTCCAGTCGGCACCAAGCCGAGAGGCGCCTGCTATACCCAGTGCCTGCAGGGGGGGAGGGGCTCGGCGGCGTTCTGCCCTCGCTCGTCACTCTCCCTTTTTCTCCTCGCTCCTCATGCTCGATTGCCCTCCTCCTCCTCCTCCTCCTCCTCCTCCTCCTCCCCCTCCTCCTTCATCCTGTCTCCACCGCTGCTACCCCCTCTTTCCAGGCCGCCTGTATCTGCCATCCCGTTCCTTCTTCCTGCTTCCGCCGCTGTTTCCCCCATCGTTCTAGGCCATCGTGCTCCCCGGTCCCTTCGCACCGTGGCTCTGTCTTGCTTCTGCTTTCCTGTTGTCCCCTTCTCCCGCCCACGCGGCCTCTGACCCTTCTTTCTTGCTGCACTGTTGCCACCAAATCCTCCCAAACTCCCCACACTCCTTGGCATTTACCCGCGACGGCCTGGTCGACTTGGCTCTGTCCCGGCCGCGTGGCCGATGAGGTCGGCAGTGCCGACGGCAAAGTTCTACCCTACTCGCCCCTCCCCCGTCTGACTGCTGTGCGCCATTATCCTCTGCCGGCTTACTTCTGCTTCTATTCCTGCTTTATTTGTCCCTCTGTCTGTCTTCCCTGTTATCCGCCCCCTCCTTCCACATGAGGTTCGCTCCTCACCTTTATTTTTTCGTCCGCTTCCGTGCGCGCGGTCATCTTGAGCCAAGCGTTTATGGACGACGCCGCGTCTGGAGCGCGAGGGGCGTTGCCACACCGCCGCCTGGAGGGCGAACCCCAGGCCCGTCCAGACCGTTACTCTACAAAGTCGACGCGGGAAAACTGGGAACCGTTTTCCAGTCACCTGGGCTGGTCTATCAGCTATTCTTGGATTGGGCCTCAGGTGACGGTTTTGGCGCGCGAGGGTTTCGCGTCCGAGGATGGGCTGGCATCCCCATGAACCGCTGCCGACTAGTCATGCCGATGCTATGGCGTTGGCATAGCATCGGCATGGGGGGCATCGGCGATGCCCCCCTGCCCCGCGGTTCAATGCCCCCCTGCGGGGCAAGCTCCGTCCCGCAAGAACCCATTGCCGAGTCCACAGGAGATTGGCCATTTTTGCTATGTCTCTGCAGGCAGCCCCGCACCGTCTCCGTGACATTCATCTCTCCCTCTCGTTCCCCCGTTGGCCCCCCACACTTCCCCTCTCGAATCTTTGACTGCGGACTCTGGTCCGTCCGCCGTCCGCTCTGCTTCTCTCCCCGGGCCCAGCGCATCTCTGCTGATACGCAAGGCAGATGCCCTCCCCGCCGAGAGCCCTCCAAAGGACCGCCCTTGTCACGTTTTCCGTTACTTTCTTTTCGAGGGAGGCATGATTTGTCCGCATCCGGGCCCCCTTTGGAGTCGAAACTGGGCAGACGGCTCGGGGCGGAAATCTCGAACGCAGTGGCCCAGATCCTGACCAGATGGGCGGGCGCCACCACCACCCCCTCATCCGTTTCTCCACCACTGCTACCCCATCTTTCCCGGCCGCACTGCTTTCCCGTTTCCCTTGTTGTCTCCCTGTTCTTCCCACTGCCCTCGCCACTTGTTTCGATGAGGTCAGGCCTCCACGCGATCTACATGTATCTCTCTATCCCGGCATACACAACCTTGTTTCATTGCAACCTTGGACACATAGCGCGATGGGGCCTCTCGTCCCCGTCGTTTGCACGGAGGCGTGGGAATATCTTCATTTGCTATGCCGTTTCGTGTTCTTGCTGCCACTTCTTTTGTTTTCTCACA